CCTGAAGCCTCTCCCCCCCGAAGAGACGCCGCTTCTGGGCCACTGGTTTCTTCAATGGGTTGGTACTGAGCTTATGTTGACATATTGAAGTTGGAATTCCTGGCATATCTGCCGAAGTCCATGCAAATACATCATTGTTAGCTCGGAGAAAAGCTATCAGTTCTGCTCTCTCCTCCGGGTTCAATCGAGTTCCGATCTGTGTTTTTCGGCTCGAATCTCTGTCATCAACGAGCACTTCTTCAACATCTTCGACTGGAGCAGCTCTGGTTTCATCTTCTGGTCGATTATCGACGATCTCTACACCCATGACCTGCTGATTATCATGAATTTGCTGGGGAGTGACCTCGGGTGTCTTATCTTTGCCCTTCGTTGGTTGTGTTACCGAGGTGATATAACAGTGTCTGGCCACCTCTTGGTTTCCTCGCAATGTTGCTATTCCCATAGGAGTGGGGAGTTTCATGCAGAGATGAGATTGGGAAACCACAGCTCGGATTTCGATCAATGTGGGTCGGCCAATAACAATGTTGAAAGAAGAGGCCATCTTGACAACGAGGAACCGGATTGAAGGGGCTACATAGGTCCAACCACTCCCAAAAGCCACATGGAGGGTAAGAACTCCTTCTACCGGAACAGGTTGGTTGTTGAAACCATAGATAGGACCATCATACTTCTGCAACAGTGCTGGATCTAATCCCAGACTCTCGAAACAGTGGAAATACATGATGTCTGGTGCACTCCCGTGTCAACAAGGACACACTGTACTTCACAGTTGTTAATCATGACAGAAGTGACCAAAGGATCATTGTGGGGCGTAACAACTGTATCGAAATCAGCAGATGTGAAAGTAATTGGTTGATTCTTCCATTCAGCATCGTCAATCTTTCGCTTCTGAGCTCGGTTTTGATGTTTAACCTCCCTGACATACAGCTTTCGCTGCTTAGAGCTCAGTCCACCTGCTTCAAGGCCTCCCGTAATCATATGTATGATTCTAGCATGTGGTGGGAGTGGAGGTGGGGTTTGTTGATATCCCACACCTTGCCTATTTGGGGGATTGCGGGCTCCTTGAGGCTGCGGCCTCTGTTCTCTGACAAACCTTGGCTGTTCAGCTCGCTGTACATACTCATTCAGCATTCCCTTCTGAGCTAAACTTTCCCGCTCGGATTTTAGACTGTTACACTGCTCTGTAGTATGGCCGTGATCCTGGTGAAAATCACAATATCTGGTATGGTCTTGACTAGCAGCAGCAGTTCGCATTGGGCCGGGACGTCTCAAGTCCATCTTATTTTTGATCTGCATGAAAATTTGTGACCTCGGCAAATTAAATGGAGTCCAATTAACTGGAGGTTTACCTGCAGATTGTTGTGGAAGCGTGGAGTTCGGCCTTCCGAATCTCGATGGGGGGGTCAACACTGGACCTCAGTTCTGCGCCATTCTCATCCTTTTTCGGCTCGGATTGTCATCTCGCCATTCTGGGTTCTGGTTCTTAGAGGAAGGTGGGTTTTGCGCCAGGGCGTATTCCTCAGCAGTTATAAATTTCAGAGATATGTCGTTTACCTCACTAAAGGTGGTGGCAGCATGTTTGATCAAACTGTCTCGGAACCTGTCATGTTTGAGACCAGAGATGACAGCTGCAATGCCCACAGCTTGGTCAAAGGAATTAACCTCCAACACCGCATCATTGAACCTGCTCATGTAGTTCTTTAGGGACTCTTCATCCCTCTGTTTAACTCGCATCAATTCGGTAGTAGTTTTCCTAATCAACCTTCTACTGGAAAACTTAGTGGCAAAGGCAGATGCCATCTCTGTGTAAGAACTAATTGACCTCGGAGGTAAACTATAATACCATGTTCGAGCATTACCTCGCAGAGTAGAGGGGAAGATCTTGCACGTTAACGCGTCAGAGGCGTTCTGAGCTTGCATACAAGAGTAAAAAGTGTGCAGGTGGTCATCGGGATCTTTCGTCCCATCATAAGTCTCCAACTGTGGTATTTTGAAGCCAGTAGGATAGGGTTCTAGTGTGATGTTGGTATTCAGGGGGTGAGGTATAGAATCAGCAGCATGGTGTGGGGGTGGAGCACCTCGGTGTTCAGCTACTAGCTTTTCCAAGCTATCGAGGCGTCGGGTGACATCATCTGGGATGGGTTGCTGAGCAGGTGCTATATGGGATTGAGCTTGGGATTCACTAACAGCGGGAACGGGTTGAGCTGGTTGAGGATTCGGTTGTGGAGCTGAGGGTTGTTGAGCAGGGTTCAGTAAATTAATGAGGGGATCACCAGGATTACTTCTAGCTAGAAGCTGAGCCAGTACCAACTGAAAAACATCAAACTGTTGCTGCATGGCAGCAAGCTGAGCTGTCACCACGTCTTGGTTGGCAGTGGAGGTTGAATTGTGAGCTGAGACATGAGGTTGATTTTCATCTCCTCCTTCTGCATGATCAACAGGAGGGAACAGAATTGGGACCTGAGGTGGAAGCTGAGGTG